GTTAGGAGCTGGGCTACAATTCTTCGTTCCATATCTTTTGAAGCAACTTCTCTTTTGGGGGTTATAGCATCAATTTCATCAATAAAAAGGATACAGGGTGCATTTGACTAGAAATAAGAATATCACAAAGACAATCATAAATATAGTCTCTACACTGCAGCGTAATTAAGTGTACACATTTTTTTAAATCTTAGAGGATTTTTATTTGACTTAAGAGAAACAGCATGCTTAAAATAGATTGCATATAGGATAACACACTTATAGTCTCATCAATCCATGTTTTATGAAGATGTATCTACTGAAATTCTTTTGTAAAATAGGCATATTTACTATCCTATGAAATATAAATATTTAACAATGACCTGGAAAACTGAATGAGAAAAAGAGAAAGAAAAGAGTAAGTGGTAATCATCAGAATTAACACTAAAGCAAGCACACAGTTTTCAACACAAAAACCATTTGCTTTGACAGGACCTTTTTGTCCTCTGATGCACGTGCCTCAGTGCACTCACTTTCACATGGGAACAGGGGATCTGGGAAAAGGGGTGTTAGACCATACGTATGTTGAGCATGTACTGTCAGGCATCTCCCCAGCTCAGCATGGGTTCAGGGAGAGATGTAAACACAGAACTACAACCTAAAGATGCCATTTGTCTCTTTTATCTTCATTCATCATTGTGATTACCATAAACACAAACTTTACTACTCATTTACTCGCTCACTTTGGATAAGGGGTTAACACCTAAAAGAGTTTAGCTTCGCTTTGTTCAGTACCCTCTCCACCTTTTCTCTGCACCTTCCTTGTATCGTCCACACCTTTCTCAATGTCAGTCTACACATCAAACCAAGTAGACAGCTTCTATATTCTTGCTATTTTAAAAATTATTTCCTCAATTACTGCTAAAATACAGTTTCTCTTCTAATTTCTTACCAGCTTCTAGCAGTTGCACTGGCCATTTTCACAAGCCCCTATATATTCTGGGTACAATAATGACATAAAATTAAACTTTCCACCATTTTTAGTTTTAACCATTATGATCTAGTTACTGCTCAAGTGGGCATAACGTGTGCACAGCTGATACTTACAGGGTCTTTATTGTGTGCTAGGTACTACACTAAAAGTTCTAGAAGAGCCCTTTCATTTAATACTTTCAACAATCCCATGACATTTGAGCAGTATTATTAACCTGGTTTACTAGTAAGGAAACTAGGGGTTAGATTGGTTAATCTCTTGTCCACATTCCACAATTAGTACGTGGTGGCAGAAGAATTTAAACCTACGCTTCTGACTAAAAAGTACAGACATTTAACCTTTACACTATATTGAAGAAAAAACTTTAATTGGACACAAATGTCATCTTCCTCAGAAGTTCTTAACACATGCAAATTTTAATAACATAAATTCCAATTAGGATAAAATACAATCTGTAGTTTCTCTGGTGACAGAATTTTCTTTTCACAGCTTCAATTATCCAAATAGAGAAGACTTTATCCAGGCATTTGTATGGTTGCTTTTACAATGTGATAATCCTTATGTTAACAATTTTCATACTGCTTATAAGTTGTGTGGTCAAAGCTGAGTTGTGGAAAGTAAAAGTGAAAGAAATTATCACAAGGATAATCTATTTTCAACATATGACGACCCGGTATGACAGCCTAGAGCAGCGGTTCTCAACCTTTCACAGGGGTTGAAAACACGTATTTTCGATGGTCTTAGGAACCGAGACACGGCTCCTCTATCCGTCTCCAGGCCCACATGCAGATACGCCCACATGCAGATACGCCCACATACGAGTACCCGGCAACCCCTGTGAAAGGGTCGTTCGACCCCCAAAGGGGTTGCGACCCACAGGTTGAGAACCGCTGGCCTAGAGCTTCTCACCGATTATATTTATGTTTGGTTTCAGATTCAACAGGTTATTTTACCCAACCCTCTGTATCAGCAAATCTACTTTAAATATTTAGCTGTGTCATCGGTAGCAAATCACCATGTTTAGAAAAGAATGGCCAGTGGATGGATTAACAAATACTGGCTTTAGAAAAAACAGGATCTTCAATATAACCTATGCACACGATTGGACAACCTGACATTAGTCATTAGCAGGCTCACCACAGCTTGTTCAAACAGTTCTCTCAGCTTCTGTTCCGATTCTCCAGATACTCCAGATACAATTTCTGTAGCAGCTACTTTCAGAATTGGAAGGTCAAGTTCCTAGGCACAGATATATAAAAGAATGACCAAATTTTCAAATGACAACTTCCCTCCTTTTTCCTTATTCAATCTCTCTCTCAGAATTACGTTTTTAAAATGACTAACTTCCTGAAGAATGTCATCTTTTTGTGTTGGTCCAATGAAAACTATTATTTTAAAAAATCTATGGTTTTATTCAAACACATTGCCTCGATACCTTCTGTTTTTACTTTACAGATGTCACTGTAAAACTCTGATCATCTCTTCTGAATAACAGATCTTGAATCTCAAGAAATACGTTTCCCGCTACTTAGAGCTGAGCCAAAATGATTTTATCTGTTATTTATCTGCTGGTGCGGAAATAGCAGGGGTTGTGACACAGCTGTCTCCCACACATTCTACTAGAATTTCTCCACCTCTGAACCCAGGTAAGCAGCCAGTTCCTAGTCAGAAGGGGCAGGATCTTTAAATAAAGGAGGAGAAACTACTGCTGTCCCACCCATTCGAATGGTGACAAGCCTGCCTATATCCTACTCATTCTTCTGGCCATCTTGAAATTTCACGTCCGCAACCGTATTTTCTTTGACCCCCAACTTTTAACACAGCAACCACACAGCACTTCTGCACTTCTTCTGTCTCCCGTTTGTTACAATTATAACTATGTAGGTATTTATTTGTATAAATGACTGTTTAATGTCTGTCTCTCATATTAGTCTGGAAAACTACTTAAAGATGTTGCAAAAACTGGGTTTGTTGTACTTATCACTATATTTTGATGTCTGGCACATAGCAGTCACACAATAGATTTATTCAACAAATGAATAAATGAAGCAAATCCATCAAGTTCTCCTAGAAAAATTATTTTCTTTCATACAGCACTAATCTATTAGTGATCAGTATAGTATGCTGTTCTTCAAATTGAAGTTACTTGGACATTTTGCAATTTACTACCCAATACAGTTTCTGAAAAATCTGATGGGAGTAAATAAGTAAATAAGGTTGCTAACATTTTATTTTGCTAAGTAAGTACCTATTATCACCATTTTAGAAAGGATATTTTAACACCAAAAAGTATAAGAACATGGCTATGAATGAAAATTTTTAATAAATTTAGCTCTATGAAAAACAAGACAATCCTTAATTTTCTTACTTCACTACTCTTGAGAACCACTGGCTTAAAGGGAAAGAGAAGTAACTACAATGTAAACCACGTGTTAAGAAA